TGTTGCTTGGTCTCCAAAATGTCAGGAAATGTTTAGAACTATGGATCAGAGTTTCCTCAGACGCCTTGTTTTGTCCAATGAGCTTCAGTTTACTGTGACAGAGGAAAGAAACCAGAAAATATTCACACTGAAGAAGCTGCAACCAGAGAATTTAGACTTCTTATTTATTTTTAAATGCACTAAAACTGACTAATCAAAATGATTGTTAATGAATTTCAACAGCTTAATGCAATAAAAGCTAAATTAAAATGATCAATAATGAACAATATCGACTGAGACGAGAAACTCAAATGTGATAAACGTTTTAACTGCAGTTTATTAGTGATTACTCTGAGGAGGGCTGGTCACATGACACCAGCAACACGAGGCGGTGTGGGCGGAGTTATCAGGCTTTAGTGTCGATACTGATCAGTTAAAAAATGTATTGATCAACCTCGATCCTGATCTCTGAGACTGGATTTGGGACATTCATACGTAAAAAGAGCACAAAATGCCTCAAAAAGACAAAATAAAACAACTAGAAAATTCCACACAAAGTGACATAAAAGTGTATTTAAGTTCATCATCCATCCGTCGCTTCTGTTTGTGTGTGTGGTTACCATGCCGACGTGTCTGTCGATGTTGAAGATGCGTTTGTTGGATCCGTCCTCGTACAGTTTGGACAGGACGAGCTTCTCCACCCCGAACACGATGCCGTCCTTACAGCGGATCCCGATGGCCGTGCTGAACACACACACAAACAAACAAACACACAGGTTTGACTGAAGTCTGATCATGTGACACACCTAGGAGCCAATCAGAACCTTCAGAAGCCGACTGCAAACATGCTCTGAGCTCTGACAACTTCAGCTTCTGCTCCAATTGGAGGCGAGTTCAGGCGTGTTTCTGTGTTTAGGGTTAAAGCTGCTCAGGGATTGGTCAGACAGCCAAGAGGAAGTGACATCACAGGAGTTCAGTCCAGTGAGCGAAACCTTTGGAACTCATCATCCCGCCCTGCTGACCAGTTTTAACCGATCAGGGTTATTGATCAGTCGTGGAACAGACAAACGTTGACTGATAAAAGTCGGCTTTAATGTCACTATGATGGTTTTTAACTTTGTGTGTTTTACTGTCTTGTTCTCTGTGGTTCTGGTTGCAGAACATGGCGACTCTGACCTGCTGTTCTCCACGGCCTTCATGGCGTATTCCACCTGGAACACTCGTCCATCTGGAGAGAAGGTGGAGGCGGACAGGTCGTACTGCAGGAAACAGGAAGCTTCACGTCAGCAGGTTCAACAGCAAAACACACAATTCATTCACACTTTGGTTTTTATTCTCTCCTCCTCCCAGCTGGACTGCAAAGAATTCGTATTTTTACCATCATTTCATCTGTCAGTTATTTTCTTAATTAATCCGTTAGTTGTTTGGTCTCTCACACAGTGATGAGTGTTTTCTAAAACTTTTCAATTTACTGTAAAAGGAGGAAAAGAAACCAGAAAATATTTCCATTTATGAAGCTGCAGTCACCAAAATCATATTATTTCTTCTTCTTCTTTTTAAATTAAAGTCACTCAAACCTGCTAATTGTTTATCAAAAATAATTGGCAATTAATTCAATAGTTGACAAATGATGGATGAATGAAGCTCTGCTCCCCAGTGTTTCTCCTCTTACTGTGTCTCTGTTACTGAACTGAGGTAAATATTCAAAGGGAGTGTCTAAAGATAATTATGTTAATAGGGTTATATTGCTGCATGTACATACATAAGATTACATTTACTTTTAAAAGATTTTCTGCCATTTATAAACATCTAAATCTGTGCTGAAAATCCATTAAAATCTCCCCAATTTATTACAACACATCCCTTTGTCCTGTCATTTTAACTACCTAAATACAAAATGAGAACACACAATATTTATAGTCACGCAACACTTTAAATTCATAATTAACCTATTCACGTTACAGTAAAATGATTTCCTCTTAAACTCTATGTAGTGTGTAAATGATCAGTAAATTTAACCGACAAATTCAGGAACATCTGATGAACACACACTAAAAACACACTTTAGCTGAAGGTGTGTTTTCAGACGTAAACAGGTTTTGTTGTCACTCACCTTAAAACCTGTAATATTTTGCATGGGGTTTGGCAAGTGCAGGAGCAAACTGTGAGCTGTGACTGTGCTAAAATGTCAACACAAATTTCCACAAACAAAACTTTCAATTACTCATCCCAACAACAGCACTAATATTGGGATTTCCTCTTAATAAAGTGTATTTGGTAAATCAAGATGAATTAAGATGACAAACAGTCTTATACGTCCTCTTCATGAAGCCAAGCTTAGCTCACACGCAAATTAACTTAAATGTGAACGATTGTAAATGGAGTTTGGTGGGAGTTAAATGCTTCCAGCAATTGTGCCAACAAGCAAACATCACAGTATGCTGCCACTAAAGTGACATCCTATGTTCCAAAATATCAGAAAATGGACATAAAACACATAACACTTATCCAAAACGACTCAATAAAAATCACTTTGACATCCTTTACACCAAACTTCAGATGTCTCGTCTCCACACTGGTCAACTGACAGCATTTAAACTTTACTCCAAAGAAAGTTTATTTAGGACGAGTGGAACCCCGATAGGAGGGAAACACTTCATTGAGATCATAAAAAAGTCTTACATGTTCTCTCCATGAAGCCAGTTTAAACTGACCCGCAAATGAGTTTAAATTGAATTTATTCTGAATGGAGTTTGGCAAGTGCCGGAGCTAACTGCTCGCATCCACTGTTGTGTCAATATCACACATTTCTATCATTCAAATGTCACATTTTGGCACCGAACGGCAGCGACACATTTATTGTACACATTGTTCGCTTAAAATATGCACCAAAATTAGATTATATTCAACTTAAACGTAAATTTCATTCTACTTTCAATTTCAATTTAGCTTCTGCTAGCAGGCCTCGCTGTGACTCAGCAGGCTATCGCGCTAGCTAGCTGCTACAGGTTTCTCTGAATAAGATCGTTTTCAGCATAAAAGCGAGTTGTTTTCCTGAAGCTTGAATTAAATCAGACACATAAAGAATCAGAGGGAAGCTGAGGAGAAAGTTTGGCTCAGATAAACCCAAAAATACTCACCCCGGTCCCGATGGAGCTCATGTTGCCAGACTGTGGTCCTGTGAGGAGCCTCTCTGCTGCCGCTGCTTCTTTCGGGTCTATTGAAGGTTGAAAACAGCGAAGTGACGCAGCAGCGCCCCCGCTGGCTGGAGGGAGAACCGCAGCGTCTCCATTTACTGTGTTTGTTTGGACAAAAAGAATATTTTCTGTCCAGTTTTAGTCATTTCATCCAATTGTGGTCGTTGTGTGGCTAATTTAGGTTATTCAGTGCTTAGTTTCGGTTGTTTTAAGTCTCTCTTTGTGTTATTTTGGGTGTAAGTTTTCAACAAAATCGTGTCATTGTCTAATTTTTGTTGTCTTGGGGCTGTTTTTAGTCACTTGGCATCAAATTCTGATCATTTTGTCTCTAATGTTGATCATTTTGTGTATGATTTTAGCCATTGTGTGTCTGATTTTGACAATGTGGGGAATGATTTTGGTTGTTCTGCATTTGATTTTGTGTCTGACTTTGATTATTGTCAGTGATTTTGTGAACTTTGTGTCTGATTTTGGTCATGTCATGTTTGATTTTACTTGTTTTACATCTACTTTGCTTATTTGTGGCTGACTTTGATCAATTTATGTCAGATTTTCAATGCTTTGCGTGTAGCTTTGATCATTTTGTGAATGATTTTGGTTGTTTTGCATCAACACTGGTTTTAGTCATTTTGTGAGAATTTCTGTGATGTCAGACTGAACTTTAATCTTTCTGAGGTTTTGGATCAGTTGCTTGTTCTGCCTCATACTTCTGAAAGTGTAACATCACGTTCTGTAGTTTTACCAACATTTCTGTGTGCAGTTGAATCCAGTGTCTTCAAACCTGAGTCGGGATGTTTTCATGTCGTCTCTCTGCTCCTTCTTTCTCCCTCTTTTCTTTTCTTTTCTCGCATTTTGAACCTCATTTTGTTTACTTACCATCCAGTTTTGGTCATTTCGCTCTCTACCTTTGCTCCTCTTTCCTTATTTTAATCATTTGTGTGACGTTTGGTGTCTACTTTTCATTGTGTGTGACTACTTTTGTTTAGTATTGTATGTGTAGTTTCAGTGTTTTCTTGGGGGGTTGATCTTGGTGGTTGCTGTGTCTACAATATTGTAAGTTTTGCATCTAAATATGGTTTCATTGTTTTAGCTATTGTGTGTCCAACTGGTTAGAGTTGTTTCGTGGTAAACTTTGGTCGGTTCATGTCTTATTTTGGTAATATTGCATCAAATTATCGTCAGTTTGTGTCTCATCTCAGTTATTTTACTACCTAGTTTCATTATTTTGTGTCCAAATTTGGCAGTTTTGTATAAAACGTTTTGATTGCATGTAATTTATAGGTGACTTTGTGTCTAGTTTTGGTCATTTGCCGTTTAGTTTTAGATGTTTTCTGTCTCATTTTGCACCTAGTTTTGTGTGTAAATTTGTTTTTATGTGTGATGTTGGTTGCTTAGCATCAACATTTGGTCATTTACTGTTTAGTTTTGTGTATAAATTCGGTAGTTTTGCATGTAAATTCATCATTTGGTGTCTCAATTTTGTATATAATTTTGTTTGTATGTGCAATTTTGGTCCTCCACTGTCTAGTTTTGATGATTTTGTGTCTCATTTTGTTATTTACTGACTGGCATTGCTTTGTTACAAAATGTGGTTGTTTTTCATGTTATTTTACTCATTCTGTGTCTCATTTAGAATGCACAGCCCCCATACATTCACCTTCAGACCAGAGAATAACGACACTTCTACCTGCAGAAGCTGCCGGAGACACTCGGCTAACACACATCTAAACATCTGACCTTCTTCATGGACCTCCAGCCAATAAAAAGCTTCCGTTGTGACGCTCTCGTCCAATCAGAAGCCTCCGTCCCAGTAAACACAGAGGATTTGTAAGAAAAGTGTCCGTAGAGTTTTATTGAGTCTCAGTATGACCAGGGTGGATTACAGACCTGCTGAAGTTTAAACAACTAAAATGTTGTGAATTTCATAACCATCAGTTTTATTCTTCTTTTTCTGTTTCATCACGTCTCCATGTTGAATCAGCAAATGGAAGCTTTGGTCACGTAAGAGTGAAAAACATTCGTATACAGTGCACTTTAAAAAAGAACGGGAACAAAAACGGGTTTCATTCGGTGATTTTTTAACTTTTTCTTTACAATAAATCAAACGGAGCGACTGATCAACGTTAAGGCAAACAGACTGAAGCTCCACCATCGACTGGAATGACAAAGAAACATGTGATCAGAGAGAAAAGAAGCTACAGTTAGTGATGATGATGATGATGACGAGGAGGAAGATTAGCGTTCGTTAGATAACTAATACAAACATGTACAAGGCTGTTTTTTTTTTATTCGTGAAATTACACTTTAATAAGAACGGGGACCGAGAGCCGGACTCAGGACGCCTCCACACAGCAGCAGCAGCAGCACACGAGTTCACCGCCACAATAAAACCACCCCCAGACACACAAGCACCGCCAAAATAAGACGACAGGAGAGGGAGGATGGAGACAGAGAGACGACAGCTGCAGCAGAAACAGAAAAGCAGGAAATAAAACCAAAGACAGACGTCTCATCTGTGGGAAATCAAAAACTTCCAGGTTGTCCAGAACTTCTGTCTTTTGATTCCTGAAACCAACGAATGAACTTGTTTCCAGACTTTCCTCTTTAGGGGACCTTAAATGTGTGACTCTGATGACTGGATGAAGATCTAACGGCTGAATCAACAGTGACATATTTTTAAAAGCCAAGAGCAAATGCTACTAATCCTAGAAAACTCTTGAAACAAGTTGATTTTTGGTTTCTGACTTTGAATTGTCTCAAAACTACAACAAGAACTTTTATAATTATGAGAAACCCGAATTTTCTGAAAAATGTGTAATTTTGATAAATTTGTCCCATAATTATGAAAAAATCTTTCATGAATCCACAAAGAGTTTCAGAATTATGAAAAAATTCTAAATTCTCATAGTTACAAAAGACTGTCTTAATTAAGAGAAAAACAGTCTGAAAGTTACGAGAAATCTGTTTTAATCTTTAATAATGATGACAACAAACTGCCTCAGTTGTCAGAAATCTGTCTTGTAATTTCAAAATAATTGATCTCCTATCGAGGAGAGAAAACTGTTTAAGAAGTTTGAGAAATTTGTGTCGTAATCACAAGAAATCTAAATTATAATTAACAAAGAAAACTCTCAGAATTATTGACAAAGAAATCTCAATAACGTGAGAAAATATTCTCGTAATTACAAGACAAAGTTTTCTGTTTTTACCGTCTCACCAAAAGACTAAGTGGAGCTGGACAGCCGGAGGTTTTGGAGGGTGGAGACCAGCAGAGACAAACTGGGACCAGTTGGTCGACGCAGCAAACTGGGATCAGCTTCACCGAACTGAGCGACGTTTATACGGAAGATTATATTCTGCTGATATGATCTAAAATGATTTACTATAAGGTTTTCACATAAACGTCACTCAGTAAAAAAGAGGCTCTAGTCTGATCCAGCTGCTGCTGCAGGTCTCAAACTGGACCAGCAGAACCAACAGAACCAGTAGAGCCAGTCCCGGCCCTGCTGGAGAGAGAGGGAGAGGATGAGGAGGAGGATGAAGATGGTGTCTGTTAGTGATGAAGACTTTCTGTCATTTTAACCCCGTTCTCTCTCTCTCTCTCTGGTCCAGAGTCCTCGGTGTCGCTCGTCCTTCCAGGCGACGCCCCCCGCCCCACCCGGTGGGCGTGTCCAGCTGAAGATGGGCGGGACTGCAGTCAGGGGGCGTGGCCAGTGGGATGTGGGCGGGGCCGTACAGTTAAGTGTTACCTTTCAGGACGCCCAGACAGCTCTGCAGCAGCTGGAGGTTCCCCTGCAGGTGAGAGAGGGCGGAGTCAGAGACACAGGTGATGGATATACAGGTGAGAGAGGG